GTGATTTTTGGGGAACTTGATTGAAACTGGAAAAGGAGAAAACAAAATTTTCATGTGGGCCCCACCAAAAAGAGAAAGTGAGAAGATGATAATTTCACGTGTAAAAAACTGCTACAGTATCAAAAATGTCGTTACTGGATTTACACGTCATTAAAATTAAAAAAAAGCCGGTGATTTTGTGGCATTTTAACGAGCCACTTAGCATTTAACTGACGGAAGGATCATTTTAGTACCAAAAATGAAAGTTTAAGGATAATTTTGATATTTTTTAAAGTTAAAGGACAATTTTGGTGCCAAAGTGATAAGTTGAGGGACTAAAATGGTACTTAAACCTTAAAAAAACATAAAAATACCGCATGGTAGTAAAAATAAGAATAAGAAAATAAGAATAAGAGCCGGGCTTGGGGGGGTAGCCAAGAAACTATACCTCAAGACAAGGAGGGCAATTGCATTTAAACCTGTAACACACCTCCCTAGGCACCCTTAATCTTAGAAGAGTTTGGAAACAAAATTTATAATAAAAGATTACAATGAAAATAAAAACACTTTTGAAAAAGAAGATCATAAATACCTGTAAAGGAAAACCACTTTAACAAGTCGATATATATATATATATTGAAAAAGTGCCAAAATATTCAAAGTTGTAAAATAAGCCAAGTTAAGTTCATTTATAATTTAATTTAAAAGTTTTATACATAAAGCTAATTTACACAAAAATTATATGAGGCAAATTTCTTCTCCAAAGCTTTTCAAAAAACAAAAGCTGAGTTATGGTTTTGGTAAGATATCGATCTGCCTCTCTATCGAAAACACGAGGCCCTAGCTTGTACATACAACGAACATGCGAGTCCCGTGCCAAAAGCTCCTAAACCGAGATGCTGCTACCTCGATCTACTGATCTGAAATGGGGGGGGATTTTATGAGCTCACAGCCCAGTAAGTAATAAGCTTAAGCTATAAACTTGGGTCCCAAGACCCTTAGACCTATCCACACAAAAAACATAAGACACAACGGAATCAAATCACATAATATTATAATTCTCAGTATTTAAATAATGATTTAATATCTCAAATCATGAGCACAAATGTCAAGTAATAATCAATGACATTTAAATTAAATTCATATACTAAAATCATATGCTCACAAATACGATGTCACAAGCGCAATGCATAAAATCGAAAATCACACAATGCTATGGAGTCCACTGAGGTGTGCTAGCAACACTGTACCGTAGCTAATCACAGTACTAACCCTACTGCGCAGAGGTCCACTGAATACCCCAAAGGGTCCACTAAATACCCCAAGCTTTAAGTTTAGGTCCACTTACTCCATAGTCACAAACACATACACATGTCAAACAAATTCATAATATGTCCAAAATAATATTAGGACTTCCTATTGAAAGAGATCAAAGCATAATACGTGAACAGTAATCATAAACAGTAATCATGAACAGTATCACAAACAGTATCATGAACAGTGATTCGTAAACAATTCAATTTTCTTCTAATTCCTACAACAAAAATCACACCCAAATCAAACAATAGAAAGGACTAACTCACTATCTTTGTCATATAAGTCCCAAAATTAAGGATATTTCTAATAAAAGTTTAATACCCAAAAATCTTATAAACCAAAAGATTAAAGTCAAATCTCACTAATTTAAACTACCCAAACTCTAACCCAAAATTCATAACTAAAACTTATACTTACCTAATAAAAGCACCTTAACCTTGGTTGGGAGAAAGAAAGAAGAAAAGGATGGAGGTGGAAGAGGAAGGCATAGGAAAACCAAATGAGGCTTTTGGGAGCTTTCTGAAGACTTATCCAAGCTTCCACCGACAAAGACCAAAAACTTGGTTGGGAAAATGCCATGTGGTAAGTAAAATTGGGATAATTGAGTTATGGTCATTCAACTTCTCTTAAATTCTACTTAAAACCCCCAAACTTTAAATTCAATCAATTTAATCCCTAAAACTATAAACTAAAGGACACTAATTTTTAAATTATTCACTAAGGTATGTGGGGTGTTACAAAACCCCTCCAATTTTTTAATACAACTCTCATTGCTAGTTGTTCCACAGTATTCACAAGAAGACTTGAAATGAGCTCTCTTGCTGCCAGGATGCCCACAGAAGGAACAATGAGAACACTTTTTCTTTGGTGAGCTCTCATCTGAAATAGTTGGGATACCATCCGTGGATTTGATTCCACACTGAAAAAGTGGATTATCGCCATTTCCTAGATTGTGTAATCTACAAGAAACATCGTCCCAGCAAGATGAGATAAAATCATTGAATCCTCTTTGCAGCTACAGAAAATAAACATGAGATTCAAAAATTGAGCTAAGAGTGTACTTATTCAATATCTCATCTTCGTTAAATCTTTTGACAAAACAAAGAGCTGTTTCAAGGCCAATTCCTTGAACTCCATTTAGATCATGGTCATTTCCAACCAGAAGAGAGATGGCTATCAAGTGTTTCCTCTTGAGTCCAAGACCAGCTTCAATATCTGACATACGGTAGCACTCAAATGGTCCCTGCATAAAATGAGATTCCCATATTTGCCAAAGGTTTAACACCTATACGTACACACATAAAGAAATTTCACAAGATTCTTAGGAACTAGCAACAAAATCTTAAGGTAAAACAACTATTTCCCACTGAATTGCATATTTTTCAAACATTTTCTATTCCCCACCTCATCTATTCCAATTTAGTCCTCCATTAATTAATCCACATTCAAAGGATTTTGAGAAACATGTCATCCCATACGCACAAACTTATCAATGGTTTCTAGCTGACTAATGTAATAAACTGCATAACCATCATTTGTAAGAGGGGATGCACTAACAGAATATTAACGATTTAAAGTGCTTACAAGACAGAAATAAATTCCCACAAAGCATATTGATATCAACACACACACACACAAAAAGGTGCAGAACAATTTCCCACATTATCAGGATAGATAATAACATGACAGACAAATAAAAAGGAAATAAGGGTTGTTTAAGTCACGATAAAAGCTAGTACAACTTACTTTTGAGTTGGGCCTGATGCATTTTATTACACATTTAGCCCCAAAGAGAAATGTGTCGCTATCAGCAGTGATGCAGGCATCCACATGACCATCTCTATTCAACTGCGCACACAATGCTTCAGCCTCACCATTTGCTTTCAGTACAGGCATCCCAAATAGTCAAGGAGTTCCTACAACAAAATACGCTTTCTAATAACATATATTTGCAAGACAACTATCATCCATGCTTTAAATACAAAGTCTACATGTGATTGACACCTAGAAGTCAAAGGTGATTACACAAGATCTCTCCCATGAATTAATGACCAAGCAAGAGTGCACAGAAAAAGATTAAAGCATGACAAACTGATTGTAACAAATTTTTGTGCAAGCTCTACAAAGACGGTATTTGCTAAAACCATATATCTAAAGAAATAACCAGGTTAATCGATCACAAAAGCAAGCATATACAAGGAAAAAAAAATCAGAATTTGGACTGCACCAACAAAAATTGATAGAGATCATGGTGTCAGGATCAACTTACCACACAATCATTAACACATTTAGTGAATTCCTGGTTCCTCTCAACTGAGACATCCTTCTGAGGGGGCAGAAAGCACGAAGAATCAATTCCAGATGAACAGAAAAACCGCATGATCCTTGCCTGAGATTTCAGTGGTGATGCAGTTCCATCAACAACAAATACTGGAAAGGCTCCAAACTGCAAAAAAATTTCAAGAACATTATTCTCATTCCCATTCATACAATAAAGATAATAATTTTCCATTTTATTGCCACAATAGAAATAAAGTGAGATACAGTAAAGCCAATTTCTTTCACTCAGAAGAGAAATTTTCATATTATACTGATTTAAGCAACAAAAAAAGACAATGGGGTAAGTTGATTAATTAAACAAAAACTTCCACTAGACTAAAAACCCAACACCATATTCGCTTAATTAAACAAGTCTATTCTATAAATCCTTGCATTCATTCTCCTAACAACCAGAACCCAGTAAAGCACCCAAAAGAAATTCCATCTTGTTCCTAAAAATAAAGGAAGCTAAAAAAGGCAAGTGGAATACCTTCACTATTTACGTTATACCAACAATCCATGCGAAGATTTCAGATGTTCAAGATTGCTTCTTTGGCTCTGAATCATTTTTCGTGCAGTGAGAGAGAGAGGGTGGAAAGGAAGAGACGAAGGAGAAAAATGGGTTTTGGGAGAGATCCGACCGTTGAGGTTTCGCGGGTTGAAGATTAAATGGGCCAGACTGTTCTGTGTGTAGAGATAGAGAGAGAGTACTAGACAAGCCCAATTAAATACAGAAAGAAATATTGGGCCGAGTAAAGCCCAAAGATATGATAGTCAACTTACAGGATGTGTTGTTGACCAGCAGGACACGTGGTGCCAGTGATAAACTTGTACGAATCATACGAATCATACGAATCATACGACTGGGAACATCATCGGATCAGGTTACATTACAATTATTAACTTTTTTAAAAAAAAATTAATATTCCCAATAATATATATTTACCTCATTGACTTTTTTAAAATTAATATAAATGGAAATCTTATTTGCCAGGTGATATACGGGACAACAGATCTGGTTCACATGAGCAATCATACCTCGAAGAAAATCCTAAATTCATACCAATTCTCCTACTCAAACAGATCAATGGAGGTAAAACCAACATATACGGAAACACACACTTTATTCTGCCGGTGTTTCCTTCCCTATTCGCGAATCGCTGACAGTTCAAATCCATCACCAATATTATAAGAAAGCTTTCTTTCTCCAGTTTTTTGAGAAGCCTCAACCCATACCAACACAAGCATTTGGATTGTCTCCATGCTTTGCACAACGTAATATGCGGTCAACAGAGCCATGCATGCTAAATATGCCTTCAAAATCTTGGGTGCCTTTCCACCCTCCAAAGCAGAGTCTGGTGCTCGTTTCTTTCCCTCTTCTTTCTCCTTCCCCGGTCCCTCGTCCTTCTCCGGTCCCTCGTCCTTCTCCGGCCCTCCGCCCTCCGGCCCTTCGTCGTCTGGTCCCTCGTCCTCTTCTTCATCCTCTTTCATTTTCTTACCCAGGAAAGTCTCAAATGCAGCTGCCACATCCGCAAATACCGCTTCTCTAACTGCAAACCAAAAAACAAGGGCCACGACAATTAACATCAGAGTGGCCCACGACAATTAACAAGGGCCATACCATTTTCTTCAGAATTATTCAAATTCATGAGGAAGACAAGAAAATAAAAACAGAATCCAAAAAATAATTAATAAATAAAATTTACTTTTCCCTCGCTTTGGCGGATATTCAGCTCTCCTTCGCCGAAGTTCCGAAGTTGCAGCTGCAAACCAAAAAACAGGAAAATCAGGAAAATAAAATTATGGCAAAATTTTCCCATGCTTTAGCAAAATTAATCCAAAAGGAATAAAACAAAAGGTAAGGTACACATGGATTCAGAACCAAGTCTAGGTC